CCCCCCCCCCGGGGGAGCTGAGATCTGGGGGTTCCTAAAAGCAACTGACTTTCAAGTCTTGGACAACTAGGAAGTATGAAGTTAAGGGTATTATAGGGACGTCTAATTCCCATTTGTGTTCCCTTTCAGGGAAGCTCTGTGGTCATCCAGGAGACTTGCCAGATGGTTCCGTTCGTATAGAGACTGATCTTAGTTTTGGTTCAACAGTGACATTTTCTTGTAATGAAGGGTAAGGATTTCAATGAATGCTTTTCCTTCCTTCTTTCTTGCACTACTGTGTTTTTGACCCAGCATTAAATTAAGACTTAATCTTTTAGTAGAATATTGTAGATTTAGGAATTTCTGAAGGATGTTTGCCGACAAGGTTCTTTGGTTTAATCCAATACTTTATTAGTCCAATCCTTGAAGACTATTGTGTGTTCTTGAAGAAATTACACTTGTCTTGTATGTCCAATTTGAAAAGATTGAGTCTGATGTTTCCATTATAAAAAGTTGGTGTCTTTTTGTGCTTTTAAAAGTGTAATATTTAAATCTTACAGTTTTAACAGCCCTTTTCAGTTTACCAAAAAAAGCCTTTGTTCAGGCGTTAATTTTTTAATTCCATGAGCTACTTTTAAAAATCATTTTTGTTCCTACTAAATGAATTTAGTGTACTTTAAATGCATTGAATACACTCCATAGTAGCTTTATTGGTTTCTCTAGGTCAGTGGTTCTCAAAATTTTGACATTCCTCTTGGAACATGCTAGCTCTTAATTCTCACTGGTTTGTTTTTTGGGTTTTTTTGCCTACAATAAAACAGATCAGTTTCTCTGTTGCAAAGACCTCAGAAAAACCACAATTATGGATTTTTGTTTAAAGTATCTGTGTTCCTCTTGTAAGTCACATTTATGCCCCTAACGTGTTGTGTGGCACCCTGCGGGACCCTTGAAAGGATCTCGAGGCACCCGGAGTGCTGCACCACCCCGGTTGAGAATCGCCACTCTAGATACCTGACATTATGGTCCTGCTTCAAACCAATGAAGACAAAAGCACAGAGATTTTAAATTGTTGGTAACTCCCCCCTTTTTTTTTTTTTTTTTTTTTTTTTTTTTTTTTTTTTTTTACGGTATATACATGCTGCTTTGATAATTGTAAAATGTGAACCACGGTGAGGGTTACGCATCTTGAAAAACAGACCTTCGTCGACTTGTGAGTTGGAATCACAGTTTAAACGTGCTGTTCTTCTGGCTTCGGTGTTTGGAATACGTGGCCAAATAGACTGTTTTTCTTGGCAAAGAGAATTGCAGCTTAAAACCCTGTTCTTGCTTCTTCATCCGTTGGTAGGACAGAAGTATATCCATGTGTATGAGTTGCTGGTTGGGAGCTTCCAGTAACTTATTTGAAAGCTTTTATTTTTTTTTTTCCCCTACTTAGGTACAGATTAATTGGACCACGGTTTGCTAAGTGCGAGATTGCTGGCAAAGGTGTTCATTGGAATGAAGGAATTCCGCACTGCGAGTGTAAGTGAATGGTATCTGTTTATATATTTTAAGAGCAAGTTCTCCTTGTGCTATTCTGTGCATCAGGTAAATTGTACATGAAAGGAAACTGATGACTAAAGAAAATGAAGTAGCTTCTTAACTGTTTTTTTTTTTTTTTTTTACAAGCTATTGGATGCATGTGTGAAAGTACTGGAGTAAGGCTGTCCAAGTTACGGTAGCTAGTGTGTATGGGCTAAATTCAAACTTTTATTGAAGGATTTACTTTTGTATAAATTTACCGTTTGAATGATCCATCATAGTGATTAACTCCAGATTAATGGATCACTGGAAATTGTGATTGGCCTCATCTAATTCAAAGTGTCAGATTGAATCACAGAGCAAAGTCAGATTAATAGGGTAACTGTTTTGTATTTTCCATTGAGCACATGTTGCAGACTTTCAGTCCTATGAACTGATAAGGTGCAAGTCTTGGTGTCACTGACTGAAGTTTTCATGCAGAAATCTTTTGTCCCTTACAACTATGAGAATTGTCTATAGAATTTGTTTGTATCGCCACTAGATTCGTATTTCGTAATGGGCTTTATTTGCAAATAACGTTAACGTGAATCTGCAGCTTATTTTATTGTTTTTCATGTTCTGGCTGTTGATGTGTTAGAGACCTAAACTTAACCATGTGAGAGAATATTACAGTGGGATTTTAGGAAAACATTTAGCCAGTCCTTAAAGGGTCTAAGTACCTAACGTTCTCGGAGAGATTACTTCATCTATTTTGCTTTTTTTTTTGGAAACTGTCATTGCAGAAATGTTAATACAATACAGTTTGTTTTCAGTTCTGTAATGAAATAGCAGTGTGTGTGTTGGCGTTCTTCAACATGGATGGTTTCTACACTTCCTGTTGTTGACCATAACAACATTACAGTTATCAGTTAATTCTAATAGAAAAATCTGCATTATGTTGTACATTTCCATTTTCTCTTTATTCTTTCTGATATTTTTGGTGATGCGCTAGTTTTTTCTTTGGCTTTTTTTGCTAAACTAAGACAACTTATTGGATGCGTCAGTTAATTTAGGGGAATTGCTATGTAAACCAGTATTCTTAACATGATGTCAGTTCATCTGTAGTTGATACCTTGACAGTTCAGTCTCTGTAAATATTGCAGGAAAAATAGTTGAACCTGTTGTAATTATTTTTACTTGCTTGAATGCTTGCGCTGTTGCTTATAGATGTTGTACCTTGTAAATTTTGCTGTGGCTTCTTACACAACAGTTTCCTTCTTTATTTTAATATCCTGCAGCAATTCCATGTTTGCCACCTCCAGACATAGAAAACGGGACGCACTCTGGTGACCAGGAAGATTATACCTACGGGGCATCGGTAACTTACAAGTGTAATAATGTGCCGAGAGGTTCGGTCCCTTTCTCACTTGTTGGGGAGGCAACTATTTATTGTAGTTCCAATGAAGATAATAATGGAGTTTGGAGTGCACCCGCCCCTCAGTGCAAAGGTGGTTATTTTTTATTTTTTTATGTTGTTTATTCTCTGTGTGCATCTTTCTATAGTGAGAAGCTTTTGAGTTTAGTGACAAATGGATCCTGGTTGTCCCTGATTTAAATAAATAAAAAAATAAATCACAAATTCTCTGACTAAAAATCCCAAAATCCGTGATTAAAATGAAAGGCCCCCAGGCTCTGCTAGTGCCCCTCCCCCCCCCTCCCCCACAGCTCCTGCTCCCCCAGACCTGCCAGAGGGGGCTCCCACTGCTATGGCTATGGGGCCAGGGACCCGGGTTTGCTGTCCCCTGCCCTTGGCAGGAGGCGAGGGCTGCTGTTGCAGCAGAGCAGATCCTGACACCACCTCCCTACCCCCCTCCTCTGTCCCACAGCTGACTGCCTGCTACTGGCTCAGGCTTGGGGTCTGGCTCCTTGCCACTGCATACTTGCAGGGGGGACCTGTGCCCACCAGATCAGTGCATGAGGATGGGGCTGCGTGCTGCGGGCTCCTGCCCTGCTGCCCTTCCCTGGGGCCTCTGCAGCTTGGCATGTGCAACCCACTACTGCAAAGAATAGCAGGGCCATGTAGGAAAGCTGCCTGCCACTGCGAGCTCTTGCTGTTTTGGCAACGCATCCCCTGCAGACGTGCACCAAGCATGACCAGGGAGAAATATCAGAATGTGGACATTGCCAATATAGGGAAATAAGTAATACATTTCTCTTCTGGAACAATATTACATAATGTTGGCTACTTGGAATGTTTTCCTGTCCTAATGGGCCTATGGTAAGCCCGAGGAAGCTCCTACTTTAGTCACATAAACTAAATGCTGTATTTTTTCGCATATACACCTTTTTCCAAATTTAGCTGCTGGAAATCGGGGTGTGTATTTTAAGCAAGTAATGATGGCAATAGCAGGTGCTGTCTCTGTGAGGGGAAAGCAAAGACATCTCTGCAAGCATTAAATGGGGCTCCATAATTGCTGCCTGTGGACACTTGCTCCCCCCCCCCTTCCCAGCAGCTAAGTGGAAAGGGAAGGGGTCATGCTGCAGAAGCTGCTACTCTGTTACAGCTACTTAGCAGTATTTTCCAGGAAAGATCCTTTTTACTTCATTCTGCCTTTCAGAACTGAGGCATTTCGTGTTTGGGTGCACGTTTTATGTGAGAGAACACAGCATCGTTTGCCTGTAGTGTTTTTATCTTGGTCTTAATACACTTCATAAGGGCTCATTTAAAACACTTGACCTCTGTTTCTTTCCTTGTCCACATCCTAGGAAATGTGTTGGAGGAATACATTTAAAATTTGGTTCACTGGAAATAAAAAACCTGTTTGTGGTGTCTGTAAAATAAAAGTGCTGCCTACAAATGTTTCAGAGCTTTCTGTTCTTTGATACTTTCTTTCAGTGGTCAAGTGTCCAGAGCCAGCAGTTCCAAATGGGAGAAGAGAAACTGCATATTCACCTAACTATATTTATAGAAGCAGAGTTATTATGAAATGCCTTCCTGGCTTCGTCATGATTGGAAGTGATGTGATTGAATGCCAAGAGAATAATACCTGGCGTCCTGAATTGCCAGTTTGTCTACGTAAGTATGAATAGGAATTGAATTTCTCATTGGTGATACAGTGAATCCTGCACAGATTGTTTGAATCACAAAATGAATCCGGTATGTTACCTGAAACCAGCAACTAGATGACCTGAGGAATGAATTGGTTGGCTAGCGAATCTGTATGACTTGTAAAGCTGAACTGTGATGCTGATGTGAACTGCATGTTGGTTTGGTTTTTTGGGGGTGGGGAGGCGGGAAAGGGGGACGGGATTGGCCAGTTAAAAAGTACCTCTTTGTGCCAACCCTTTTGGGGTTTGCAATGGAGTTTTGCAGGTTGTGTACTATAACCTGGCATTGTGCATATTTAACATGCCAATGTCAACATAAATATAATTGCTCATCAAGCCTTAAAATAGGGTTAGCAGAGTACTGCTGGTTTATTTGTGAACGTGTGCCTGTAAAGTACCTCAAAGTGTGAAGCAAGGCCAGTGATCCTCTCAGTGGAGAAGACATAACTCCCTTCTCCCTTCTTTTCCAAAATGTAGAAATATTCTCCCAGTATCTTTTTTGTGTGTGCCTGGATATCAGGCTGTTCTGCTAATATGCTACATGGTCTTAGCTGCCCAGTTACTACACTAACCCTTTTGGGGGGGAAAGCAGTGTAGACCACTACCACTTGGGTGAACAACAAACGCACAGTATAACCAGTTTGGTATGACCACAGGAAACCTGGAACGTAGCTGAGCAGGTGGCGTTCTCGTGACCCAAGTGGCTCAGTCTAGGGGACATGCTGTACTTGTTGAACCTGAGCAACACCCAACCAGCAGTTGTTTGAATTGGGTGCTGGGAAGAAGCTTGGGGGGAAAGTAGGCTCTTGATTACAGTGTTTCAGTCCAAGCAGCTTACGGCTTAGAAATCTGAATCTGAACATCCATGAAGCGTGAATGCTGCTTTTTACAAAGAGAATAATGGATGCATGCGAGTGTTTGTGTCCTGGAATATTTGCCATAGTTAAGGAAGACTTGGGGTTCTGGAGAGTAGAAGAGGGAGTATGGAGACAGGTAGTTGTGGGGGTTCAATTCAGGGAGCATCAGGGTGCTGAGATGGGGTGTTTGGGAGAATGAGTTAGGTGGGTTTGTGTTCGGAGCTATTTGTCAGCCCAAGAGGTCCCTTGCCACATGTGCCAAGGCTTGGGAGGCCTGAGCCTCACTTTGTCCTTCTTGTCCCCATGCAAGCTGGAGGTCTGGGGTCCCTTCTCTCCCTGAGAGATGCAGTGTAATGGGTTGTGCTCAATTGGG